AGACGGGGTTTCACCATGTTGACCAGGATGGTCTCGATCTCTTGACCTCGTGATCCACCCGCCTCGGCCTCCCAAAGTGCTGGGATTACAGGCGTGAGCCACCGCGCCCGGCCAAAAAAATTTTTTTTCTTAAGGACAGAGTCTTGCCATGTTGCCCAGGTTTGGGTCTGAGCTTCCTAGTGACCAGTTCAACAAGGAAAACAGAATCAGAAAAGGATTTATTTGGTGTCCATAAGGTAAAAGCCACCCGTTGCTAAGGAGTAGCACTTCTTTTCTCTGTAGTGAGTTTTGAGAGAAATGGGTACTGGGGGGCCCCTTGGAAAGGAACAACAAGGACAGATGACCTCCCTAGGGTATTGGCAACTAGGTGGCAGTGGAGGGGCCATCTTGGGCCTGGGCTGGGGGTGGGAAAGTAGGGAGCAAATCAGCAAGCTCTGCTCCAGGCCCCCCAGCCCTGCCCCACCTTGAGCAGCTGCTGGCGGTGGCGGGAGTGCACCTGTCTGCGGCAGCTAGTGATGCTCACCAGACATCCCATTGCTCCCCTCATGTCCAGGTTCCTGGCAGTCAGGCAGCCATAGTACCCATCACTGCCTCTCACGACCCACTGGCTGGTGGATAGTGGGAGGCAGTGATGTGTGTCACTTCCAGGCCAAAGCACATGAGACCTGCCTGTGACCCTCTAGGACTCTCGTCCTTGGCTGAAGGGATGAGAAGTGTGCATGTTTCAGATGGTGCAGCTGCAAGGTGGTGGATCCCTCAGGAACCACGTGGAGCAGAGCATTTTCCTCTACTGACATACAGTGCAACAGAGAAATACACTTGTCGAGTGAACCGTGAGATAAGGGGTTATTTGTCACGGAGCACAGCGACCTGTCCTGACTCATACAGCCTATGCAAGTCCAGCCCATGGAGATGGTGGGTGGCTGCCTATGCTTGGTGTGGCCACAGAGTAGGAAGCAGGACCCAGATCTTCTCAGGAACCTGGACTCTGAGGGCAGTGGGGAGCTACTGGAGAAATTAAAGCAGGAGAGGGGCCGGTGTTGTGGCTCATGCTTGCAATCCCAGCACTTTGGGAGGCTGAGGCAGGTGGATCACTTGAGGCCAGGAGTTTGAGACCAGCCTGGCCAACATGGTGAAACCCCGTCTCTACTAAAAATACAAAAATTAGCCAGGGGTGCTGGCACATGCCTGTAGTCCCAGCAACTCTGGAGGTCGAGGCAGGAGAATCGCTTGAATCCAGGAGGCGGAGGTTGCAGTGAGCTGAGATTGTACCACTGCACTCCAGCTTGGGTGATAGAGTAATACTCTGTCTCAAAAATAATTAATAATAATAATTATTATAATAAATAAAGTGGGCCGGGCGCGGTGGCTCAAGCCTGTAATCCCAGCACTTTGGGAGGCCGAGGCGGGTGGATCACGAGGTCAAGAGATCGAGACCGTCCTGGTCAACATGGTGAAACCCCGTCTCTACTAAAACTATAAAAAATTAGCTGGGCATGGTGGTGCGTGCCTGTAATCCCAGCTACTCAGGAGGCTGAGGCAGGAGAATTGCCTGAACCCAGGAGGCGGAGGTTGCGGTGAGCCGAGATCGCGCCATTGCACTCCAGCCTGGGTAATAAGAGCGAAACTCCGTCCAAAAAAAAAAAAAAAAAAAATAATAATAAATAAAGTGGAGAAGATAGAGGACCAGATTTAGTTTTCAGATTTTCCTCTGACTACTGACAGAGGACAGGTTAGAGCAGGTGAGAGGCAATGGCCACCTGGGCTGAAGTAGGGCAATGAAGTGGGCGGGATGGTGGGGAGAGGATGTTACCAGAGATGTGGGATCAACCAAACGTGGTGCCCGAGCACACGCGGCGGGCTGGGGGTGGTCACTGAAGTCTACACGACCTTACATTAACAACAGCCCTGGCCCCCTGTGGCCCTTCCAAGTTCTCTCCCTACACAGCCTGCCTGTGTACCTATAGGGGGTCCCTGGGGTCTGGCCTAACTCCTGAGAGCCACCCCCCATCCAGGAGGAGTTAGGAGGCTGTAAGAGGCCTGGACAACCTCTCCCCTGGAGCTCACAGTCACTTCCGGGGCAGTAAGAAGTCACGGTTTTTGAGTGCTTACAAGCTGCCAGGTGCCATTCCAAGTGCTTTCCATGCAGCAGGAATAGAGCAAGTGGGTGCTACCTTGCTCCCGGTTCAGATGCAGGTGTTGAGGCCAGTAACCAGGTCACACAGCTGGTGAACAGCAGGCCTGGGGGCTGAACTCAGCTCAAGCCTGCAGCTTTTGAGCCTGCAGCTCCAGGTTCTCACATACATCCATGATGACATCTTTCACACGCACCACAGCCCTGGATCTCAGCTCCGCCCCTAAGAGGAACTGTCATGATCATGATCACCCCCATACTACAAAGAAGGAAAATGAGGCCAAGGAAGCTAGCTAGACCCCTCTGGTCAGTCTCCCCATTTCCCCATGGAAGAAGCCAGCCAACAGCAAAGGAGCTGAACATCAGTGCCCTTCTGTCCGCCCCCCAATCCTCTCCCCACCCTAACTCTTATTTGTACTGCTAAGATTCTTCCAGACCTGCTGTCACAAAGGGAAACTGTACATGTTGGGGATGGGGCAGCCACTAGCAGGCCCAGCTACCTCTCCCTTTGTGTGTGGTATGGAAGTGTATGTGTATATGCATGGGTAAAGCTTGTGCACAGGTGTTGGCTTGTGTGTACACTGTGTGTGCACAAGAACTGCATTCATCAGGATGTTCATGAGTGCCTGTGTCCTCTTGTGGGTATGCATCCATCTGGATGTTAAACTGAGGCTGTGTATATACACGTGCATGAGCGCATGACTCAGCACTTCAGAGAACAGGAGTTTCATTTTCCCTACAAGCAGGCACTTGCCCACAAGTGAGTACTGTAGCGGGCCCTTTGCCCATAGGCTGGGCCAGAACAGTCAATTCGAGCCAGGTCTACCCCAGTCCACTTGTCCTATCCTGCCCCATTCCAGCTGGCTGGGCCCACATCAAAGCCGCAGCAGGTCACCTCAGGTGTGGCACTCTGGGACAACATGCTGGGGCACAAAGCAGGAGGTGGCATCCATTCTACTGCTGCAATCCCAAGCCAACTTGGTGGGCCTGATGCCGTGAGATTAGGCTCCAGGGAATTCCCCACTCCCAAAAAGGATTTAGTCATCTCTGGGCTTTGCATTGCAC